GGCAGTGGTGCAACCTGCTGGGCATCGCTGGGCCTGAGGGCAGGCAGTGTGGCAGGAGGCAGGTGAGACAGCCCCTAGCCAGGTTCAGGGTCCATCCAGCACCCCACCTTATCCATGTCCTTGGTACAAAATACATGCACATATAAAAATAATACTCCACGAACTGGGGGTGAGGCGGTTGCGGCCGGGGCAGCCAGTCCCCACCCCGCAGGTGTGCGCTGCCCGGATGAAGGTGCCCCGCTGCAGGTCTAGCTGTCCTCCATCCTCCTCTGGTTCTTGGAATGAAACTTGTTCATGAGTTCCTCCAGCTCCGACCCACCTTGCTGCTTCTAGGGAAGGCCAAGGAGGGCAGCCTCAGCCTGGAGGGCTGACGGGTCACGGTCCTGCCGTCCCACCCCCCGACCCTGGGGAAGTGCGGGACGCTGGCGTGGGGGGAGGCGGGGGTGGCGGCTCACCTCTAGGGAGGCCTTCTGCACTGTCAGCTGGCTATACACGCGGGTGCCCTCCTCACCGCACACCTTCTTCAGCTCCTCCTTGTTGAGTGAGAAGAGCTGGAGGGCCGTCAGGATACCCAGGTGGTCCACGGTCCTGGGCGGGGGCACAGGGTGGGCATGGGCACGGGCTCTGGCTGTACCAGTCCCTGCCAGCGGCCTGTCCACCCCGGTCCCGGCCAGCTGCCTGTTGGCCCCAGTCCCGGCCAGCCGCCTGTCCACCCCACCGTGTACCCCAGTCCCGGCCAGCCGCCTGTCTGCCCTGCCGCCGCTCACCGAGGGCTGAAGGCCTTGGCTTCCAGCCAGGCGCGGACCTCGTCGGGGCCAGACTCGAAGGTGAGTGGCAGGTTCACAGGCTGGCTGCGCTCTACGCGGAAGTGGCGCTGCGGCTGCACCTTGATGTTGCTGATCTTCTTGATGAGCTCGTCATTGACCTCGTCCATTTGGTGGATCAGCTCTGGAGGAGCGATGGGGGGCGCCAGGGGTCAGACTGCCCCTCTGCCAGCAGCCCAGAGGAGTCCCTGCCTGCCAGCTCTCCCCACCGACCCCCAGTCCAGAGGGTCCCCGCCCCCTCCCCAGATCTTCCCCCTGACCCCCCAGATCTTTCTCCCGACACTGGCCCAGAGGGTCCCTGCCCCTTCCCCGCTCTTCCCCCCGACCCTGGTCCAGAGGGTCCCTGCCCCTTCCCCGCTCTTCCCCCCGACCCTGGCCCAGAGGGTCCCTGCCCCTTCCCCGCTCTTCCCCCCGACCCTGGTCCAGAGGGGTCCCTGCCGCCTCCCCAGATCTTCCCCTAACCCCTGGCCCAGGGCTCTCCCCACCATCCCTGCCTCCCCCAGGCTGGCCCTGGCCCCAGTGCCTGCGGTGGTTTGCTGGCCCCATCCCTCGGGTCAGAAGTGGCCTCTCACCTTCTTTGTTCCCAGCGAAGTTTGCAGGCAGCTTGTGAGTGGGGCTGGCAGGTCCCCAGTATTTCAGACTGGCCTGCAGGGTGGGCAGAGGTGAGGGCCAAGTCAGGCTAGCTCATCACTCTCCCCTGACCCCTGGTGACGTTGTCCAGGCTAGGCCCTCCCCACACCCCCCGACCCAGGAGGTCCCCAGTATACCTGGTGGCCGGACCCTGGCAGGGAAGAGGCAGCCCTGGGGAGACAGCTCTGCAAACTGGCCAGTCTCCCACCTTCAACTGCTCACCTGATCGAGGTAGCTGCCCACCTCCTCGGGCCGAATCTCGTTCAGGATGTTACAGGGCACGTAGCCTGCCTGCCCACTGCGGTTACGTAGCTTCCACCACTGCCGGCCGTCCTCCAGCACCTGCCAGGCCACCCGCCGTCACAGACAGACCCCCACGCCTGGCCACCCTCCTGGCGTGAGCCCCTTTACAGGTGGGCCAGAAGCCTGGACCTCGCACAGGCCTCAGGGAAGGTCAAAGCCCCATCTAGCCCTTCCTTTCTACCCGCACGGCCACCCAGGCGGCCTCAGCAAGGTCTCCTCAGCAAGCTCCTGGGAGTGAGATGCCTCCTGGCCTGGTTGTGGATATAGATCACACACACACACCCCCCCCCACCGCCTGCTCCACTTTCTGTCTCCCCACAGGTGACCTGGATTCAGGGTTGGCACCAAACCAGAGACCGCTCACCCCGCAGCCAGAGCCCAGGCCAGCCTGGGTCCCTGGGCCGCCTCCAGGACTCCCAAGACAGGGAGGCCCCGTCGACCAGGCTGTGCTGGGGGTGTGGGGTCCAGATCAGAGCCCTGGAATAGGGACCCTGAGGAACAGGTCAGGCAAACATGCTGCTGTCCCGGAGCCATGCAGCTGGCCCCAGGCAGCACCCCCACCCCGGGGCAGCCCCCTCCACCGAGGCGCCCACCCCCACCGCGGCCCCGACTCCCTTACCTCCAGGACCTCATCCTTGAGCACAGACAGCTCGTTGGCGTTCCGGGCTGTGAAGTCGTAGAGGATCTTGACGTACTTGCCCATGGTGCGAGTGGGATTGTAGCCCCTGCTCGGGACAGGAGGGGCTGAGGCCCAGGGCAGGCAGGGGTCTCCTCCGAGACCCGGTGGCCTGGCTGGGAGGAAGCAGCTTTCCGGGCACCCAGCCTGCCTCCGTCAGGGCTCCGGGAGGCTGCAGCGGAGAGAGGCTGCTGCTGACAGCCAGGAGTGGAAACTGTGACAGCCCCAGCGTGTCTGGGGCCCCTGACGGAGGTGGGGGGGGGTGATGGGCGGGCACAAGATGGGCGGGCTGCAGGGCCCTGTGGGCCGGGTCACCTCAGGGGCTGCAGGCCTGGTGCCATGGGAGAACCAGAACCAGGCATGAGCCTGAGAAATGACAGGGTCACGGCCAGCCCTCACCCCCAGCCCAGCTGACCAGCAAGGGTGAGAGCCTCTAGAGGGCCCTTCAAGCACCGAAGACAGCACACACGTGCATTTGCACACATGTATGCACGCACCCACACATGCAATGCACGTGTGCACTGGCACACACCCACACAGTGCACACATGTACGCATGCACCCCCAGAGCGCACACGTGCATTTGCACATATGTACGCATGCACCCCCACATACAGTGCACGTGTGCACTCGCACACACACACACAGTACACACGTGTACTTCCACCCACGCACCCACACACAGCTCACACGCGCACTTGCACACACACACACCTACACACACAGCCTGGCACTGCCCACAAGCCTCTCTGCTCTTTGGGGCTGGACCTGTCCTGCAGAGGGAGCCCTGGCTGGGGGCGGCCCTGGCTGGGGGGTGGCCCCGTGTGGAGCAGGTCTCTGGCTGCCGCCCCAGCTAGATCACCCCTTCTGGTCACTTCCTCATCCAGGTAAGGCCCCAGAACAGAGTGGGGGCCGAGGAATGTGGGCAGGGACCCAGTCACTCAGGTCCCTGGCTGGGGACTGTCAGGGTTGGGCCAGGGTGGACAGGTCGGGGCTGCAGGTCAAAGGGTAAAAATGTTTCTGAAAGTGTGGTCCTAGGCCTGGGACCACAGGCACAGGTTGACAGCATGGGGCGAGGGGGGGTACGCTATTTTAAAAAATGTGGATTTCCAGCCCCCTTGCCTCCTGACAGCAAACCCTAGGGTCTGGCAGGGTAACTAGATCCCCAGGTAGTTCCCGGGCCAAATGTGAGACCAGGAAGGAGGAGGGGAGGCCAGGAAGGAGGAGGGGAGACCAGGACGGAGGAGGGGAGGCCAGGAAGGAGGAGGGGAGGCCAGGAAAGACAAGGACTCCCCAGCCCTTGCATTTGTTCTTTGTCCACTGGGAGACATGCGTGTCTGTGTGTGAGACGTGTGTGTGTGGTGTGTGTGCGTGCGTGTGTGTGCGTGTGCGTGTGTTGGGGGGTTGCATTAGTCTAGACCCACCATTTCCTAAATCAGCCCCAGCAGGGCGACAGTGTTTGGTGAAACCATGAAGTTCAGTGGTTTAATGAAGCTCTAACCTTGATCACAGAACATAAATGTGGGGACATGAGAAGAGATGAAATGTGAGGGTGCTGAGGGCATGGACGACTCCTGACAATTCCCCTACGATTGTGTATTATAAAGTTGGCGTGAAAACCTGGTTTGAGTTGGGGAGACTGGTGTTCTGAACCACGTGAAAAAGGCGTTTACAACCACGTGGTGGCAGTGCACCCGAATTAGAGTCTCTGTGTGTTGAGGGGTGAGCACCCCGCTCCCCCACTTTGAGCGGGGCTTACCTGTGAGCATGGGGGGAGCCAGCTGGTGGGAAGACATCTCCCGGGGGTGTGGGCTCAGATGTCAAGCTGTGCTTCGCAGTGTTTCGAAAGGACAGTCGGCGCCCTGGAGTCGACTGCGGGGGAAAGTGAGTGGCCTGGGCTCGATTGGTGGTGAGGGCTCAGAAGGTGGGGGCAAGCTCGGTCCCGGGACATGGGGACACAGGACAGAAGCTTGATGAGTGTGCTGTGACTGAAGGACCAGAGGGGAGGACACAGCTCGACACTCAGCCAAGTGAGACCGAGGGGCTGCCGTGCCTAGCAGGGGGCAGCCTGAGGTGCAGGGACACTGAGGGTAGCAAGGGTGCTAGGGGTGGAGGTGGGCAGAAGAGGGCAGTGGGGGGCCAGTGGCTGGGGGTGGGGCTGGCAGGGCTGGTGATGCTCTGACCTCGTCATTGGGGGCAGCTGCCAGCCCCTCCACCTCCCAGGGAGCCTCCTGAAGCACATCCAGGGGCGGCTCCCAGCCGCTGTGGAACTTGGGCACGTACAGGAACACCTGTGACTCCCGAGGCCACTCGGCCCTGGGAGCGGAGGTCTGGGGGTGAGCTGGACCTTGCCAGGCCCACCCTCCAAACTGTCCCCACCCAGGACCCCCGCCCAGTCTGCAGGCCCCACTTCTGTCCACATGCGGTACTCCCCCCACCACTCTGCGTGGCTGGGTCCCCTGCCACCCCCTGCCTCGCTGCTGTACCGGGGGCGTGTCCAGGCCTCGCCCAGCGTCTCCCACAACGCCATCTCCTTAGGGACCAGGTGGCCGCGCAGAAAGCCCACCGCTTCGCGGGACAGCAGGGGACTGGTGACCGAGCGCGCAATGTCCGGGCTGCCACAGGTGCTGACGATCTGGGGTACAGCGGGGCTTAGAGGAGGCCCTGCCCGGCGGACCCCAGCCCCCGCCGCCCTCCACCCCACCTGCAGCCCCTAAGACCGCCTTTGGGAAGAGGATTGGGGCATGTCAGGGACCTGTCTGCTGCCTTCACTCCTCGGATCGGGGACGCGAGGCCGAGACGGGCACTTTTTCCCCGCCCCCGCCCGCCCCCGCCACGGACTAGCCACTCCAGGACCCCTCCCCAGCGTGCCCCCTGCCCGCCCCCCAGCCCCAGGCACCAGGTCCAGAGGTCCGAACAGGAAGTGTACGAGCTCGGCCGCGCTGGGGTTCTGGATGTGCTTCTGCAGCTTGGCCTAGCGGGCGGCAAGCGTGAGTCAGCGGGCGACCGACAGGGCTGGGGAGAGCGCTGGACCGCCAGCACCCAGGGACAGGGGCGGGGAGGGGGCCTGTAGAGGGGTAGGGGCGAGT